TTTTTGTTTGTGTGTTGTTTGCTGTCTCTTTGTGGTTGTTTTGTACACCTTCGTAAATGTTTCGTGCCAAATTGTGGTTATTTTGTGTTTGTTTGCAGATGTTTTGTGTCTTTTTGTTTTCATTTTGCATCATTTTGTGTCATTTTGTAGTCTTTTTGTGTCTCTGTAGTCTTTTTTTGCCTCCTTGTGGCAGTTCGTATCGCTCTTCCTCGGGGTTTTGTGTCTTTTTGAGGTTGTTTTGTGCCTTTTTTTGTGTCTTGTAGTCAGTTTGAGTCTGACTGTGGTTATTTTGTGATCACTGTATGTCTTGTTATTGTGGTTTATGTATGCCCTCGTGAGGATTAAGCGGTGTGTAGATAATGGATGGATGGATTCTCACCATGTTATCTTAGAGAGCTGCCTTCATTTTGGGGTTTAAAACAGCCTCATTTCATTTCCAAGTTGGGCCGATATGAGGTTTTTGTGTTCTATATCCACACATTCATATTTAAGGTGACCATATACATAAATCATGCGAGGCAAAACAAAAAAAAACCAAAACAAAAGGAGTCTCACCTTGCTTCCCCGGTGCATTGCCGACTCCTAATAGACTCAGATAAATGGCCGAGGCAAGATGTGCTGCCAGTTGACTCACACAGTGACTCATGCGGTGTTTACTCAGAAAAAGGAACGAAAATAAGTCTCAAAATGAGGCACAACATAAATGAAACGGCGCGAAGAAGTGAATCTGGGATGTATTTTTCACTGGAATGGTAATTTGTCGCATGTTTACGACACCAGTATTCTTTGTTTGATTCAGGATATTGCAGCATCCTGTGCAATATTTTATTCTTTTAAAGTAAAGAACACATACCGCTAGTCAAATCTCCTGCGTTAAAAAACTTTTGACAAAAGAAGTTTCAGCTGCTTTTGTGAGATCAAAACCTGGGAGATGAAGTGTCCTGCTGTTCTTGACTCCACAATGGCAGGAGAGTCGGGCTTGAAGTGAGATGAAGTTTAGCGCGGCTACTCTTTGGTGTTTGCGCTTTGATCTGGTGGAGCTTTAATAGACCCCAGAGGCCGTACTTAGACCGTCCGTGTCATGTTCGACCGCCGGATTCACAGCTCCTGAAAACCTGCTTCGCTTCCATTAGCTGGTGTTATGCTTCCTGTTTTGTTTACGTCTCGTCTTTTTTTGTATTTTCTTTTCTTCACTTATGATGACCTTTTTTTTTTTTGTCCAAAGGGGGACAAGAGTCAGAAAAAACCCCACTCCACACAATCGCCCCTTAAACAATCAGACAGCGAGGTGGGAAGGAGAGTTTCCCGCCGGGGGGATTTCTCTGCGAACGCGGCAATTTTCTCCACTGTTTCATTTATTCCACAAAAGGAGATGATTTTTCAGATCAAAGCATATTTTTATTACAGTTGTCTGGAATCAGTGAAATTGCAAAGGGAATGAAGGGAGACGGGCAAAGATGATATCCAAACAAATGAGGAAAACAAATCATCTGCGCAGATTATGTTTGCCGGAGACTTTCAAGAGATGCGGAACAAATTGTGTGAGAGCGAAGAAGAAAAAAAAGAAAAAGTGAACTTTTTTATTTATTTTTTTTTTGTTGTTTTTTTTTTGTTGCAACATTTCCTGTTTGTGTGTTTTCGGCTCTGATTGTTTGGCGTCTCGACTGATTCAGGAACGAGCACCTCCTCCGTCTTCCCCCCATTTGCCCCCTCGACTGCATCGGTCTGCCCCCTCCTCCCACCCTCTCCTTGAACCACTCGCATCCAATTCAGCCCACTCAGACTCATTGTTAAGGGGACATATTGGAAAACTATTAGCTCTCATTATGCTTTATAGCCATCCGCTCTCCCCATTCTGTCTTTTAATCACATTCCATCTCCTCCTGTGTGTGTGTGTGTGTGTGCGCACTTCCTCGGGTGTGTCGGCGTTATGCCCTGGTCAGCCAGACACTAATGAACCACTTTCACTGTAATGCATTCAGATTCAGACCACAAAGTGCCCCTCCTACCCTCGTCCACCTCTTCTTTTTTTTGTTTTTTATGGGGCAGCCAGTGGCACAGGCGCCACCTTTTATGGCGAGCCCATCTCAGCTTTGTGCCGTCACGAAGCATGTCAGCCAAATGGGATGGAGCGCAGTGCAATCCAAATAAAAAGAGATTGGAGTGAATTGAGTATGGATTCTTACTTTTTTTTTTATATCTCAGCTCGTCATAGTGGTGGAAACCCTTATGAGCACCCATTAGGTCTTCGTAACTCCAAATAACCAGGCGATCGTAAAGCGCTGAACATCCTCTAACGGCTCCGTATTGAGTTGTGCACAATTCTGATCACCCTTGACAGTGTGTGTGTGTGTTTGTGTGTGTTTTGCTGGCAGCACACACACACAGAGAGATGGCCATTTTAAAACATATGCTCTGCGACGGACACACACACACTTGCATGCACACACACAAATGTCACCAGTGGATTTAAGTTCCGGTTGTTCTCTCCCGGCCAAGGCGACTGTCATCATTGTGCAGCAAAACTCCCATAATCCATCTGTGGCATGACAGCATCCTAACTTCACAGAAAAAAAAAGAAGCTATTCTTTCTGTCTCTCCATTTGTCGATTCCTTCCTTTTTTCTCTCCCTCCTCTCTCATTTTCACTCCCCCTGCTTCACATTTCCCCTCTGGACTGGTTTTTATTCTTCTCTCTTGTCTCCTTTTGCTTTTCCAATTACATTTTTTTTTTTCAACCCCCCTCTTAATCTTCTTTTCTCTGGAAACTTTTATCTGGTTTTGATGACAGTAGAGAGGCGCAGCAGGAAAGAAAGAAAAAAAAAAAAAACCCACACGAGTGATAGCTCGAAATTATTGTTGACCACGAAGACGATGATGGAAATGAAGATATTCGTGGCAATTATAATTACGCTGTTGATAATGATGATAATGATGGAGATCGGAATGACAATGATGCCATTAATGATGATGATTAAAATGGAGATGAGGGCGATGACAATGAGGATGATGATGGTGGCGGCGGCGGCGGTGACAATAGTGATGATAGCTTTGCCGGCTTTCTGAGCAGTGTCCATGTTTTCACCTTGGCCCAGATGGAGAGAGACAGACGGAGGGGACGGATGCCAGCCGAAAGAGGGACGCTCGCTCCTCAGCCGGACATCACAAGAGTGAAGACACCAGCGACAGCAGGGAGGACGAGGCAGCAGTGAGTCTTTCTGTCTTTTATTCTTTCTTTCTCCTCCCGCCTCACCACCCTCCACCGAATAATATTGCCCCTGCCTGAACACATGCTCCCTGCCCAAACCCACAGCCCTCTGAGTAAGCAGCAATAAGGTTTATTGCTTGTATGTGTGCAGGGAGCTCATCAGGGCTCAAACAATCACAGTCCCCATCTTAATTATCATCAAACACTTAAGGCTCTGTTCTCCGTGCACCCACTGATTAGATTAGTGCTTCATTCTGCCAGTGTCCAAAAAAAAGAGACCGTCCCCTGCCCTCGTAATTAAAAAAAAAAAGAAGAGATGAAGCAAAAATGATCTGGGTTCAGGTGAAAGCGTTATAAAACTGGCTGCTGTGGAAGGGAAAGAGGTGGCGTTTGTCATCGGGTTTTTTTTATTGTTAGGAAACTTTTCTTTTTTTATAAACTGTACAGCTTAGCCTCGTGACCCCACCCACTGCAGTGAATTTTAATAATGTTTCCAGCTCTGGGAGGCTGCAGCTGAAATGATATTGTGAATACATTATGTAATCTAACCTCCTCTTTGAGCGTTTATTTCTGTGATCGCTTACACGCTGAGAGATGTGAAATTAGGAAAAAGCGATATTCAGACGGAGTTTTGGACCACAGCCAGAGATCATTAGGACTTGCAGCAGCAAACCGCCGAGACAATCCCGTCTCTTACGCGTTCTTTGCTTTAACTCGTATTTAGAGTTAAGTACAGCAATTTCAGACGGATTTATTTATTTTTGCGAGTGCGGCAGGGCGTCCATGGAAGATTACCTTCAACTATGTGTTGCGGTGACGAGCCCCTGTTGTTTCTAACAGCCGGTTAAAGCGAGGATTCCCATCAACTGAACTGAGTTTGATCTGAATGTCTTTTCAGCCTAATTGCAAAGAGAAATATTTTGCTAATTTCTGCTTGGCAGGGATAATTGACTTAAAGGGCCTTCGACAGTCAGGAAAACGTTGATTTTCCCACACAAGTGCTTATTACATTATTATCTCGTCTCTACAGGACGGCAGGTTTTGAGATTGAAAACACTCCTCTGGGGGGGAACACGCGTCTCAGAAACAACACAAAATATGTTGTTCTATAGCATTTTGTCTCTTTTCTCACACGAATGGCATCAAGCTGATTTCTGTCTGAAGTAAAAAGACTAATTTAACACTCTCAAGATTCGCCATTCATCATCTGGCCTTGGGGCAGGCGATATATTATTAATCCCTTCCTTCCCCTACTTCAGTTGACCAGGTTTCCACCCGTGCACTTGCCACTCACGTTGACAGGCCGTCTGCCTTGAAGTGCAATCTTGCCCGAGGCTCAGCTATCTGTAAAACTACCTGAGGTGCTGAAGAATCGGGCCGTGAAGGCTGACAATCTGCCGTAATTAAATGTTCACCGCATATTTGGCTATGTTGAATTTTTGATGTCAAAAGAGGGTCGGAGCCTTGAAGAGCAAAAAGGGGGGTCGACAGATTACAGCTCAATCAGATGGTTGGTTTCTGGTGTTTTGACAATAAAAAGCTTTTAGGTGCTTAGTGAAGAGGAGCATTACTCTGGGATGTAAGAAAGTCGGTGACGTGATGCTGCGAGCTGAACAAAATCGAGTTTATTTAAAGATATTGTCCATGTTTGTGTTCTGGTCAGGTTGTTTTTCTATCAGGAAATGGCACCTTATTGGAAATCACTTTAATGTTCAATTAATTTGTCTAAAAAATGAATAAAAACCTGATTATGTTTCACTGTTTATCACATCTGGATGGGCTTCATCTAAGTTATAATGAACAAACCTTACATTGTTTTTGTCTATAAGAAACCAATCGCTTGAGTCAGGAGTTCACAAATCCAAGAAACAAGATTGCAGCTTTGGGTTCAAACACCTACATAACACTCAGATCCTTTCACAGGAAGCATCTGCTGACGTGAAGTGTGCCTCTCAAGGAAGAGATCTCACGAGCTGTTGAGTAGATTAAAGCGGCAGAGCTACGAAGCAATCTCTAAAAATGTGGATGTTCATCAGTCCGCAGTTAGAGGAGCTGGAGGCCGCTCGCTGTCATCGCCGCACGCCTCAAGTTTCTCACTTTGACTCTCCACAGCGCTGCAGGCAAAGTTATTTGCTGACTGATGAAGCTGAGGAGGAACACGCAGCACTGAATGTGGCGTACAAACGGTGAAAACATCATGAGAACATCATGCATTGTCCTCATCCCAGAAGTGAAACGTGGTGGAGGAGGATTCATAATTTGCGGCTGCTTTACAGAAAAGAAAAATGAAGCTTATTGTGGCGTCTTACAGGATATAAGCTGTAGCAGGACAATGACAGTAAACATACAACAGATTGGCTTCGAATAAAGAAAATGCGGCACCATCGGTAGAAATGCAGCTCCCTTTAGATGTTACACGGAGTTGGAGCGATGCTGTAAGGAAGAATAATCCAGAATTCCTCCTGCATGTTGTTTAAATCTAATCTCCTGCTGCTGGAAATGCTGGTTTGAGGTTATTGTTGCCAAGGAGGGTTCACCTGTTCATTAGATTCAAGGTTACAGTTTGTTTAATGGCTGTGCTCAGCCAAGACACGGAAACTTAGAATTGTTTGTGTGTTTTTAACTTAGGAACATTGCTTTTGTCTACACCTGAGACTCGGAGAAAAGATCTGCTCACACTTCACGAACAGAAAATCACGTAATTCCACAGACGGCTCACTTGCTTTTTTTTTTTCCTACCGATAGATCCGACAGTATGGCGCCGAGTAATAGCGTTTTAATGCGCTGTGCACAACATACAGTGTGTTCTCGGCCACATACAAGCCGTGGCTGCAGGAGTTTAAGACCCAAACACAGTTAGAGTTAAAACCCAAATTGTTACAATATCCCTGTGCAGCTGTCGACTAGCCGAGGGGGACCGGCGGAGAGAAGAAGACGATATATCTTATTCCATAAAATGCAGTCGTCTTCAAAATCGATTTAAGTGAAGGCTTTAGGAAATGTGCTTGAAGAGATAAGAGTCATGAAGGGAAGCCGGCGGGGCTTTTTCTGAACGGCCCTCCTCTAAACTCTAAACCTGCCTGATGGTGTTAGGGCTTCTCTTCTGTAACAGGCGAATGAAAAGCAGCTCGCAGAATGAGTCGGTCTCGTGCACCCAGGCTCAAATATTCCGCTGCGCTGTGAGCATTTTCGCTGAAGTCACTGAAATGTGTCAGAAAGTTTATGGCATGCCTCTTTTATGAATTTTAATAGCGCTGCTTTGTGGCATGTCCCCCCCTAAGTGACAGCCGATAGATTTTGGTTTTTGCCTCAAATAATGATTACTTAAATGAACTGTGTCCATACTGGGGTGGTAAACACACATTAAATCATCACGATTACAATGTAAGAGATAGAATCGGGCCCGCTGCAGGAGGTGCTTATTTGGATTTACGACCTGTAGAGTAGAGGCCTGAGCTCCATTTATGGTTATCTATAGCGTTGATTCATTCGTAGCAAGCGCTTATATTCTCTGCTTTCCAGTACGAACACGCAGCCATAAGACTTTTCTGTTCTATAGCTTGCGTCTCTCTTCATCTATAATTCACACGTCCATTTACCAGCTCTTTGTTCTCGCAGCGCTTGACCTCGGCGCTTCCACATGTTTCACGTCTCTTTACATTGTGCTTCTCATTCAGCGCCAACATCTCAAGGAAACAGTATAATTGACACCCTCAGTCGATGCGATGCCGCTCCGCCGAGGGCGCTCCCTCACTTAGAAAATGTCAATGCCAAAGGTCATAGCTGTAGTCCATGTTTCTGGGGCCTGATAGACGAAGATAAGCTCGACTCCAGATGCGTCTTGTGGCGAGAGGAAGTGAGGGAGGGGAGGTTTAATGTGCTGTAATATGGGTCAGGAGGACAGAGGCCCTTCCTCTGTTGTTTACCCTCCCCTCTCGCTCTCTCTTAGGCTCTTCTCATGTTTTGTGCCGCGCTAAGAGCTCCCTAAAGTTGCCGTTTCAGAAATTTCACACAATGAAAGGGTGAAAGCAAACATAAAATCCCCCCAAGGCTGCGCACACTCAACAATAATAGACAGCCTGCAAGAAAATGGAATGACCTTATTGCAATCGGGCACTTTTTCTGGCAAGCAGGGGACATGCAAGGACCATCTCTTTCTCCGACAAGAAGAGAAAGATGTCACCCGCAACTCTTATTAAATTAGCTGAAGAAGTGCAGCAGTAAGACACATATTCAGCCTCTAAATGGCACTCTTTCCTGTCGTGCATCTGTTTTTCTCTCTTTGTGCTGCCAGACTATTTTCAGAAAGGAGCAGAGTTGGCGTAAGTGATAGACAGAGCTAAGTGGCATCCTTGGTGTGAGTAAAGGTGAAGAAGAGGCTGCTGGTTTCTGATAAAAGCCTAGTAAATGTGTCCTGCCCCCTCTCTTGTTTGTTGTAGATAGAGAAAGCAGTGGCAGCGAGAGAAAGAGTGTTAATCCGAACACTTCACAGGGAAGTACATAGAGATTGGAGAGGACAGACAAAAGGGAGGACATGAGGTGATGGTAGGAAACAAGAGAAAATCAAAAGTAAAGAGAGGTGAGGAGATGAGGAGCAGGATCTTCTGTAGAGGAAGTAATTACGTTCCTCTCCGCCTTCTGTGAAAGGCAGCGACCGAGCAGCAAATGTTTGCCTCTGCACCTTTCTTTCCTCGCAAATCACCAAAAATTGCAGTTTAAATAGTTGACAGAGTGTGTGAGGGTTGGCAATTACAGAAACCGGCTTAGGATGTTGTTGTTTTCCTTCTTAAATAATAATTTTTTGCTTTATTTCGTGGCCATCTGCTTTTCTCTTTAAGATGAAACCCGCAATTAATGTACACTGTCACTGTAACGTTTGCTAAAGAACAGAGGCTCATGCGTGAAGACACAAAAGGCGAAATTCAAAGAGGCGATGTGTTTACAAGAGATCCAGGTAGTCACACACAGAAAATCGGTCCGATCAAAGCTAACAAATTCAG